GTTGTGTAATGCCTCCAGAGGTCAAAAGAGAGTGTCAGATCCCCTGGAACTGGAATTAAGGACAGTGGTTAGCCACCATACTGGGACCGAACCCAGGTCTCCTGCAAGAGCAGCCAGTGCTCTGAACCACTGAGCCATCTCTCCAGCCCCCTTCTGATGTTTCTTAAAGATGGCTCTACCAGTTTCCTAAAGTGCACATGCTTCCTCTTACAGTGGAAGTCATTACAACTTTCCTGGAGCATATGCTAGCAGATGACCTAACCCCGGGACCAGGTACTCACATTCATCACCTAGATGTTTAGCAAAGGAGAGAGGAACACCACAGGGCACTTTCCCAGCATGCCTTCTTAGCTCTTCCCAGACATCTCCTCATCTTGAAACAGTTTTCCAGGGCCCCAAATGTCTCACCCATATATCAAGGGATACCCTTGGAGCTGTGTGGAACAGGCTAAAAAGAGTGCAGAAAACATCTATTCTTGGAATGGGAGATAAGCTAAGCCCAGCAGATCCTTTTTCCTCCCTCCTGCCTCTGGTCACCAATTATTTTGATGTAACTGATGCAGACCAGGCAAGTTTTCTGTTAGCAAAACCTCATCGGCCCACGCCAACTTCCTGGTGTGGGAGGAGCAAGAGTAGTAAACACACGTGTACACGCATGTGCACAGGAGTGTGTTATGTATTACTTATATCACAAGGAAAGAGGGGCTCAATTTTTGTGCAACAAAACTGATTCCTGAACAAAACTGTGGTCAATGACGGTAAGTTGAGCAGCCTTATCCGAAATGCTTGGTGGGAAGTGCTTCCCACTTCAGAGACTTGCTGCCATAGTTTTTTCTCCATTCCCGACAAAACACTCTGACCAACACCAACCTGGGGAGGAAAGGGTTTATTCAGCTTACGTCTCCTGGGTCACAGCTCGTCAGGGAGCCCAAGGTAGGAACTCAGGGCAGGAACCTGGAGGCAGGAGCTGGAGCACAGGCCATGGAGGAACGCTGCTTACTGGCTTGCTCCCCTGGCCCCTGCTCAGCCTGTTTTCTTAGGCAACACAGGCCCACCTGCCCAGGGGTGGCACCACCCACAGTGGGCTGGGCCCTCCCACATCACTCATCAAGAAGATGCCCCT